TTTAAGAGATACAATATAAATTTGATTCACGGTACACGGTGCCAAAACACTGGCAATATAATATGACCAGACCACTATTTAATCTAACCAATCATTATTTCAAAAGGCACTGAAAATGATGCAAATATGAATTCAATAAGCATTTTAGGTTCAAAGGGCAAGTGCAAAACAAAGTAATCTGCGAGTTCAACGTTTGCCATTATTGCCCAAAGTATGTGCATAACTAACTATATAGATTTATTAGACATTTACAGAGACAACGCCTCATTATTTTACATTCCACTGCTGTTCAAAAGTTTAGGGTCAGTAAGAACTTGACGCAATAATAATAACAACAAAAAATATTAATAATGGTTGTGATATATGACTTTACAAGATAGATTTGCGAGGGGTGTACTTGTATACGCTGAGCACTAATACACACACACACACACACACACACACACACACTGTTGAGGTCAGAATTATTATGTAATTTCTTTTTTCTTTTTTAAAAATTTTCCAAATGATGTTTACCAGAGCAAAAAAAAATTCTCAGTAAGTCTGATAATATTTTTTCTTCTGGACAAAGTCTTATTTGTTTTATTCCAGCTAGAATAAAAGCAGTTTTAAAAATTTTTTCAAACCATTTTAGGGTCAAAATTATTTGCTTTTTACATATATTAACTATATATTATATATATTAACTTGTTTTTACTCTTATATTTCTACATTTGTATTCAAATATATGCCTTGAAGTTTTAAATAAAGCGAGGAATATGATCAAAATGATCAAGTATGAATGATTATATTTTTGAGTATAAGCTTAAAAATGGAAAAAAATAAATATTCCTTTACATAAACTATTCAGTAAGTGAATTTTCAGAAATACTATATCATGATGTTTATTGTTTATTAGGAAATTCAATTACTTCTGTCATGATATGAGATTTTGGTCATATAGACCAGCCATAATATCAAAAATAGCAATAAATTGTATTTTGAAGAAATGCTGAACTTTTAATTTATCAAGTTTCCACCAAAAGATATTTATATTTATTTTATATTGCTTTATACAAGCTTACTGCACCAAAGAATAGAGTAATATATTCAAACTGAAAATATTGTACATTTTAATAATGTCACACTATTATTGCTTTCACTGTATCAAATAAATCAGCCATGGGGAGTATAGCTGAGCATTTTACTGACCACGGCGGTTTAAACAATGTGCTTCAAAGCTTGGAAAACAAGCTAACATCATCCAAGCAAGACCTATGAAGAAGTAGTTGAATTTAAGTCACAAGAGCGGAGGGGGAACTAACAAGGCCCTTGCTGCAGGTCTGTGGGGGAGTTTGTTAGATTTCTCCATGGGTCCAGACACAGCCGCTCCTGTCCATCTCCGAGCAGCAGTTTTCTCCAGAGAGAGGAGTCCCTGTTCAGGGCTTCCATTACAGAGGCATGACGACATGCAGACAGAGCAGAGAGCTGTTGCACGTCTCATCAGCTCACACCATGCCATTAATACAAACACAAATTCACTATGATAGATCAGGCTGGCATGCTTAGCGGGACTTTCAGCTACCAAAGGGAAGTCATGTTAGTTTGTGCCCCTCTTACTTCCAAAGACAATCTAAAGGGCTTGTTTTAATCGGTCATCATCACGCTCGTTAAAGTTACTTGAACTCATAAGCCCTTTGGATTCTACTGTAATTCTGTAAACAAGCCGTAGGTGTCACTGTTGTGAACTAAAGTAAGCACTTTTAAGGGATCATTCACTGTCATCATTTAATCTCCCCTCACTTGATCCAGAACAGTTTGAGTTTCTTTCTTCTGTAGAACACATCATATATTTTGAAGAATGTTGGAAACCTGTAACCAAAAATGACTTCTATAGTCTTTGTTTTTCCTACTGTGGAAGTGTTTTTGGCTTTCTTCAAAATACCTTCATTTGTGTTCAACGAAATAAAGAAACTCATTATGGTTTAGAACCACTTGCGGGAGAGTAAATAGTGAGTATATTTAAATTTTGGAGTGAACCATGCCTTAAAACAGGGGTGTCAAACTTAATTCCTGGAGGGCCGAAGCCCTGCACAGTTTAGCTCCAACCCTGCTCCAACACACTTACCTGTAGGTGTCAAACAAGCCTGAAGGACTCAATTAGTTTGATCGGGTGTGTTTAATTAGGGTTGGAACTAAACTGTGCAGAGCTGCAGCCCTTTTGGAACTGAGTTTGACACCTTTGCCTTAAAAGATATAACGTGATTTCTGAAAAACGTCTTTACTTGGGTTTTCAGGTGGCCTTAAAGAGGTTGATGGGCTGTCAGTATAAATAAATTATTGTTTATTCTAAAAAGGAAAAAAACTGTATTCAAGTAGCGTTCTGTATTTTTTTTTTTTATTCTCCAATACCAATGACGAATACTTTCTTTGCACAAGAACAGTGCCTGAATCCATACTTTTAAAAACACAACAAAAAGATGTCTCTCTCTCACACACATATACAAGCCTGTTCACTGTGCAATCTACACTGTAAAAAAAATCTGTAGTTTTACGATTTATTTCCGGCAGCTGGTGTGCTGGGAAAAAAAATAGCGGCTGTTAAATTTCAGAAATATACCGTAAAATAACAGATATTAAATTACAGAAATTTCCTTAAATTAAAATTTCTGGTAAATTTCTGTAATTCAACAGCTGTTATTTTACAGTAAATTTCTGTAATTTAAAATTATGCATTATTTTTTCAGTGTAATGTCGTCACGATACTGGAATGTCTAACTAATATTCTATTGAATTTAATACAAGTGCGTTCAATAACCTCAAATCACACCACCTGCTGCCATCAGAGGATGTGTTGCTGCAGTGATGATTTCTGCTTTTAATTTAAAAACAAAAAGGACAGCAGGGCTGCACAATATATCTTCTCAGCATCGATATCACAATTTGCGAATCAGTATTAGTCACAAGATCGCAGGATCTCCAATGTAGAGTTGAGACTATAGCTGACCAGATATTACCATTCAAACCATAGTGGAATAGTTTCATATTTTAACCTTTCAGTGAACATTTATAATTTGCACGTGTTTAAAAGTAGGGTTGTCCCATCAGTTTTTTGCCCTCGAGTTAGAGCACGATTCATTTGATTAGAAGTATCTACCGATCTGACACTTCTATAATACATTAAAAAAAACATTTATCGAGGTTCTACATGCTCTGTAAACATAAGAAATGCAGGGTTCTATACAAAGGCGAATGGCAGGTCACTCATTTCGATCAATTGTGCCATCTTGGCTGTGACGGACTATTTTTTTTCTCTCCTCTTCAAACTCTCCTGCAGCATGAGCTGACTCGTTTTCGGGTGGGTTGCCTGGGTAAACTCGCTGTATTGTATCGGGTGCCTTATCAGGTTTGTTGTGTTAAATGTAGCCTTTTCGATTTCACCTTTTCCAATCCCAAGTTTACATGTCTCAAATTTTGCTATAGCAATGTTGTTGTCATCAACTTTATAATACCCCTAGATCGCAGACATACTCGCGCTTTCTGCTTCAAGCTGCTTCCGTGTTCTACTTTGCCAGCATTTAACCAATGGCGTCTCTGCAACAAAGTGATGTCACGCCGCACGCCTTGCTGTTTCTCTGTGAAGTCAAGAAAGAGGTCCAACTCTGTGCCACTGCATAACTGTAGATGTGTTAAAAAATAATGAGAATGCACGAGTCCTGATCGGGAGGTAACATCTGATTCTGATCAGAGTCTGAAACCACATGATGGGGCCTGATTATTTCATCATAGGCCTGTGATGACTAAGCATTTTAAGAGTCCTTTAAGACACTTGGACAAAATAAACTAAACATTTGTATCTTAAAGATTAATTGTACAGTATATAACTATTTTTTCAATAAAAACAATAGTCGTATTTTACATTTGATTTCTGTTCCTTAATACAGTTCAACTCCCCAGATAAAAATAAAAACGTAAATGATTGTTTTTTTTTTTCTTTGTGCTGTTGTATTTAACTTTGCTTGTCATAAATTATTTTTATTTTATGCAGATGTACTCGACTACAAAATTATCTCAATCAATCTAAAATGATGAATTCTTTACATATAGAACTACTCCAGGCATCTGGTGAAACTGCATCCATATCGCAAATATATGTTATAAAAAAAAACTTGCAATGTAAGTTTTTTTCCCAATATTATGCAGACCTAATATACAGTGACATTATCACAAAGATGTCTAGGATTTGTATCATCAAAGCGTTCTCACTTTCACATGAGTTTTCTCTACATAAATCTCACCACACCACACAGGACATTTATTTCAATTAACGGTGGCACTGAAATCTGTGTTCTGATTCTCTCCGGTAAATAAAAGTTATATTTCCGGATTTGCTGCACTATACATTTCAGTTTAGTTTGAGATCATTATAACATGAGAATGTTATGCCAACATGATCACAATACCTCTTTAAATTTAAAAGAACCGCAATAAAAAAAATTAAAAAAAAAGATTTTTCCATTCTTTTTAAACAGAGGAACAATTGCACAAAAAACACCGCATAACATTTACCTTCGCTGTACTGTTCATTAAGAGGCATTTGGAGAACTAAATGAACAAACACCGACATAGTTTCCATGGGACCCCTAAAATTATGAGGTGGCAGAAAAACCCAACAGTAAGACATTGAGAAAGATAATATTGACTGATTTGAAAAGGCCATCCCTTTCCTCAGAGGAAATTTAGCATACACCTGGTTAAATATGCTTTTGTTCAGTAGCAGGAAAGAAGCACTTTTGCGAATGCTAAATGAGTCTGTTTAGTTTTTGCATGTCTGACGTGGTTCTGTCTGGTCTTGAACAAACGAACAAAAGTCATTTTTGCTTGTCTTCAAGCCAATCAATCATGTATTAGTAAAATTTAGACGAGGAAATGTTTTAAAAGCTGCAGTTTTGAATTTAAAAGCCCAGACGATCAAGGAAAATAAAACTCATCTGCCAATCCTGAATTTGATCTTAACTTACCTTTGATGTTATTGAGTCTCTCTTTCAAAAGCCTGAAGCTGTTGAGCAGTGTGTCCTGTTCTTCATCCTGCAAATCGATAAAATCATTTTATCATTCAAGTTGGCTAAAATATGACATATTCTGATTAAGCCAACTTATCATTTATATATGAAATATTTTCTATCACATCTAGTATTGACCAATGTTATACAGGTTGATTCTGTATGGGTTGATACTGGATATTCATTGTGCTTATTTATCCTATTATTTAATTATCTAAGGGTGCTTTCACATCTGTGAATTGATTCAGTTGTTCCGAAACAGAGATTACAAATGTTACATTGTTGCTCTTTGCTCTTGGAGCGGTTCGCTTTCACACTGCAAAGTTTCTAATCGGACCAAAAGAGCTAAAACAAGTCACGTGCGAGTAAACTCTCCTCACATTGGTCAGAGTGTCAGGGTTTATTTTGCAGCGTCCCACTAAGCTGTCAGGAGAGGTGTTGGTTTGGTGGTGATTGACAAGGTGCGCAAGCGCGCGGCGTGTCTGAGGAGAGATGCGGTGGGAAGGGGTGAGAAGGGTGCGCGACGATGCCTATTTGAGGGTTGGGAGGTAGACGCGAGATTACCGGGAGATCATCACTTGTTTGCAGGCATCCGGATACTCGCGAAACTTCCCGCCATACTCATAATTCTTTCTTCATATAGCCGTATGAATATTACATATCCATAAAACACTGTGATATAACCGCGCTCGGATCGGATCGCTTTCTCACTGCAATCGAACCGCTCTAGGGTTCTTTTCAATTGAGCAGAGACCACCTCATTCAAGCGATCTCGGAGCGATTACTTTGGCACGGAACAGGAAGCGATTGCCCTGTTTACATATGCCAAACGAACCGCACTAACTGGGCAAACGAGACAGGTTCCAAAACAAAAGTGTAGATGTGAAAGCACCCTAATACTCATCACCTAAATAAAATATGGCACTATTAAACGTAATATTTAACAAATCCCAAATTGAACAGCTCATTTTGTTCTGCACATCAAAAAGTTAAACATTAAAAAAAAGGAAAATTACAAAAAAGTCTGTGCTAAAAAGATGTTATATATGGGCAGCATGGTAGCTCAGTGGTTAGCATTGTTGCCTCAAAGCAAGAACGTCGCTGATTCGAGTCCCGGCGGGGCCCGTTTTGAGGAGTTTGATGGGCCATGTTGGCGTGGGTTTCCTCCGGGTGCTCCGGTTTCCCCCACAACCCAAAGACATGCACTATAGGTACATTTATTTAACTAAATTGGCCAAAGTGTATGAGTGTGTGTGAATGTATGGGTGTTTCCTAGTGCAACTGGAAGGGCTACCGCTGCGTAAATCATCATGGGCAGAAGACAGTATACTGATTGGTTCTAATCTATTTTTGATTGGTTTCATTTATACGTTAAGCGGATTTGAAGGGGTTATTACTGGACAAGTTAATCTATAAACCAATCCACACTCTGTTATTCATACTAGAAGTGTAACCAGGGGAGCTGCAAATGGGAGGAATGTTAGGACAGTTTGGTTGTCGCGAACTGAAAAAAAAAAAAAGGAGGGGGGGGGGGTGGGGTGGTTAATGGGGGGGCGGGGTTCTGGGGTTTTGTTGCAAACTGAATAGCGTTGGGGGGGAGTGGCTGGTTGTCGCGGGGGCACTTCAGATCATTTTGGAAGGGCACTTTCAATCCAAGACTAAAAAGGGCATGTGCACTGCACAGGTTGAGCCCTATGTGTGCACGTGCCTGACTGTAAGTAATGTTTATTCAGCAGAACCGTTAATGTCAGAGCTTATCAATACTTCAGTCTTTTATAATGTAGCACCAATACCAATAAAGTACCGAGTTTGGTACCCATCCTTATTCGTTATGGATGTGACACCTCTCAATTGTGCATGACAGATGTGTAATTGCCATTTGCGTAAATTTGGTAAATCAAATATAATTGTTTGAAAACCTTGACAGATGTTTGAGTATTTTTACAGTACTATAAAAAACAAATCTTCACAAAAAAAAAAAAAACTTAGAAAAGGTTTTGCTATTTTTATGAAATTCAAATTTTTTTGAGTGTTTTCATTCATTTAGAATAGATTTTAGTATAACATTTTTGATTAATCATCTATATCAGGGGTCACCAATCTCGGTCCTGGAGGGCCGGTGTCCCTGCAGGGTTTAGCACCAACTCGCCTCAACACACCTGCCTGCATGTTTCAAGTATACCTAGTAAGACCTTGATTAGCTTGTTCAGGTGTGTTTGATTAGGGTTGGAGCTAAAATCTGCAGGTCACCGGCCCTCCAGGAACAAGTTGGGTGACCACTGATCTATATGGACATTTCACACAGAAATTTGTGTGTACGAATGGTTAGTAAATGAGACCCAATGTTTTTTTTCAGGATAAACGTGAACTAGGCAACTTACCAAAGGTGTATGGGTACTCCATCTAGAGTTCCTCTTGATTGCAGCAACGACAACAGAAATCTCCCCTTGAACGATGTATATATTCTTGTCCACCATAGTGAATCTAGAGTGACAATAAAGATATGCAATGAACCTCAAACATATCTTTTTCTTGTTAGTCGCACGCACCACATGCACATTATTACGCACATTATTATGCTTATTCTAGTCAGACGAATCAATATTAAGCTCATCTTATAAAAAGTGAAAGTGAAACTGTAAGCAATGACATTTAGATCAACAATAATGATGATATACTGTAACATAAACAGTGGATTTGACCTTAAACTGATTTCACCTGAAGAGTAAAAAAAAATTTAAAAATACCTCCCACAACTAGAATCATAATGAAACAATTATCGAATTTACAGGTGTTGTTAGTCAGAAACTGGTGGTCTTTTTACTGAATATGTTCTATGTGGTCCACAGTTCTAATAAAATTTCAGATTTTAGCTATGAACACAGCATCCAGTATTCAAAGAGTGAAGACTTCACAATTTTGCATCAAGATCTATGAACTAAAAAAAATCTAAGGTATTAACCATCAGATGAGGTTGGGAGGAGGGAGTGTACAGTTCACTGCTAGCATCTCTGGTCTGATTAAAACTTTATACACTTTCAGAATAATTTTAAAATGACTTCCTTTAGATCATAGTGCATGTCTCTAGGCTGGGAAATCTTTACTGACTTTAATAAAGCATATACAAGAACAACTTTGAGATAGTGATATTTGAAGATGAACACTCACATAACCTGATTGTCCAGACATAGTTTTTTTTAAATCATTTGTTATGAAAAACATGAAGAAATGTTAAATGCTGGCATCAAATACACTTTTTCGAACTACATGCCCTATGCCGCAATAATTGTTGAAATGTGGTGAATTATAAAAACTAAAGAACTTTGTAAAGAGGACCTTTCTTTGTCATTTTAAGATGTGCTATTGGAATATATAGTTAATAGAAATCATAACATATATTTAGGAAATAATATTTATTTCAAGTACTCTGTTACACTGATTTGCATTTAAATCAACAGCATTTCATCTTATTTTTGTCGTATAAAAGATCAACAATATTTATATTCATATATAACTGGATATTTCTGCTCAGTTTTGGCCTCTAATCATGCACTTGCATGCATATATATATATACATATATATATATATATATATGCATATATATATATACATATATATATATATATATATATATATATATATATATATACACACACACACACACACACACACACACACAAGCAGGTTTGTTTTTGTGACTTGTGGGGATATTCCATAGGTATTTGTACTTTACAAACTGTGTTTTCTATCACCCTGCTGCAACACTACCATTTACAGAAAAAAAATTGTGCAATTTTACTTTCTCATAACAATATTAATAATAATACTATTATTATACATAATAATAATAATAATAATAATAATAATAATAATAATAATAATTAAATAAGACATTTTTGTCATACCAATGTCATACCCTCGTTATTATACAAATGTGTGTCCTTATACATCACAAAAACAAGCACACACGTATAAATAAACAAATAAATAAACAATTATATTTACATACAGCGTCCTTTACACACACTGAAAAGAAAGTTGGTGTGAAAAACAAACAAACTCTATTGGTACATGTGCACTTCAACCCAGATAATAAAGCAAATTAGCTTGCTCTATTGGCCTACTAGTAGAGATTTCAACAAGAAATCCCGGTTCATTCAGTGATGCTGGTGATGGCCACGTATTAACAGCCAGCATTATGATGCTACAGAGCAAACCTTCATGACAACCTCTCAGACACGAGCTGCAATAGATCAGTTTTCCTCAACATTTTAACAGTACTTCAACTGATCATTCACAATATGAGCATCCATCGATTACTAGCTACGAGTCGACGTACAAAGGTTCATGATGAGTGTGAATTGATTATAGATCAGCAGGCCAATAAGCTTAGCAAATCATCTAGCAGTGCTGCCACAAACACAACAAATCAAATTTATTTAGCATATTTAGGCCTACATTAATACTAGTATTTCCCTTATATGTTCTATTTTGAGATGTAACTATGAAAGAGACCTAAAAAATAGTCGTATCATGACTAACCAACTGAGCTGATGATGCAGCTAACCAACCTGTCAACAAGCTAGCAAGCGGTTTGCCATACTGACAACAGCCCTTAAATGCACGAATAAACATCTCAAATTAGACCTCGTGACCCTGTCGTTTAGTTTTATATAAATCCATGAGTCATTCTACGTACACGCGCTTGTCAAAAGAAAAAAAGCATGAAAATACTGCTGTTTACTATAAGGTAGCGAATCCAAAATGGCGTTCAGATTCATTTTCACTCATTTGGTTAACTTAGCAAGCGGCTAAGAGCGCTCAGAGGAAGAATAATTCCGCAGTAACTGCGTTGGATAAAAGCTTACATTTCAGACTGTTCCGCGTAGTGTTGTCATACCCTGCTGTTTTTCTGTTATAGTATTAACGTTAGACAGATACTCTGTCACCGGTAGGTAATCTCCTCCACAGGCAAACTTACTGACGTGGAAATGGTGCAGGCGCACACTACCTTGATATTTCCTGTCAACTGACAGCTCTTTCAACCAATAATCGTTTGACTCTAGGGCCTTCCTTCCCATGTTTTAAAAGAGATTATATCCTTGTTTGGAAACATTCATCAATAAACTTTGTTTAAAATGTCCATTTTTACGTGTTTGTACACTGTAAACATCCATAGTAGTAGTAACATTAACATTTCTCTGCTAAGATTCAAAATAGGGCGGGTCTTCGGTGAAGTCACATCCACGTCAGGGTCGGTTGGATTTCACTGATGACGAAACGAGTTGTGTCCTCACGACGGAGGCGTACAGAGTTCATATACACACGGGCTTGTTTTGCTGCTGTCACAATGTGCAAGAGCTCCACAAATGCAGTTTCATGAAGACCATGAATAGGTGATATATTTTTCAAACGCTCATACTTTGTAAATTCAGTAATCTCACGGGTGTGAAGTCCTTGGGAAGATTCTAACAGAAAGAAACGATACATTTTATTACATTTTAGCATCACTTGTGACAATGTTGCAAATCAATTCAAATGTACATTTACTAACAGGATTAAAATAAACGCTCTGATTATACTAAATATCCAGAGTTTTCCATGGTTTATTAAACATTTGGGTGGGATTTGGAAACATACAGGGAGGGAATTGTTTGACTGCAAGTAAATTGGGCAGAAAATCCTTAACATAAGTAGTTTTGTAAAAAGAAACAAAAAACATCAGAAGTAACCTATAAAAAACAACATCTTCTAAATCAATATAATGTATATATTTGTACTATATATATATATATATATGTAATTATTATTTATAATTATTATTATAATGATCATTAATACGTAATATTCTTCATGGCCTACCCTAACGTGTGTGTCACTTATATACTTAAATATAAGTGACACACACGTTAAGGTAGGCCATAAAGAATAGACCTAAATATATGTTGATTTTATTAGTAGGCTAAAATTCTTAATTAGTAGCCTATATCTATAGCCTAGCCTAGCAATAGTATTGTATTTATAAAAACGTAGTGTTTCTACGCCTTTTAAAACACCCTACTTTCGGTCTGAATATAGTGTCTGACCCGATTTATATATTATATTGTTTACATTATCTTGATTGATAGGCCTAACTAGACAAAGCAAATGCAACGACGCAACTACAAATGAACTGACTGAAGACGTGGATCAGTCGAGTGTGCGTCATTTTGTTTATTGTAAAGTGTAAAACCCCTTAACCTGTCTTCTCAATAACCACCTACACATATTAAACATCATGATATTTGTTATATTTAACAGTAGACTAGTCTTTATAATTTACTGATTAATATTCTTTGGATTTATTAACGCTTCACTCTTTAAAAAATAAAAGAATAGGCTACAGAAATCCAGCCAACAGAATGAATAAAATAACTTTTTCTCTTGTTGTGAAAATTAAAATGTTTCCCTCTAACATTTCACTCATTAAAAGGTCTTTACGACATCACGAATGTTAATGAAAATATTGCAAAACATTGGGCATACAAAGGAGAAAGGAAATATAATTTTAAAAGTAAAAGTATGGTCACCCTATGGCAATAACATTACACTAACTAGCCTGATGTTCATGTTTGTAAGTCAAGGTTTTAGGCTAGTGATGCTGCGCAAGTGAGCTCAAGCGGGTGATTGACCGACGCTTTGATTTACTGTGCGTATGTTTAGCGAGCGCATGTGTGTGTGTGTGTGTGTGTGTGTGTGTGTGTGTGTGTGTGTGTGTGTGTGTGTGTGTGTGTGAGAGAGAGAGAGAGAGAGAGAGAGAGAGAGAGAGAGAGAGAGAGAGAGAGAGAGAGAGAGAGAGAGTCAAGGGGTGGGCACTGCTTTTTGCCGCGGACCTGTCGCACGAGATATTTAGCATAAAGTCATTCCCCCTCTGCATGGGGATCCAGCCTTCACTCTCCGCTAAAAACTTATGACAGACAACACACACAGAGAGAGAGAGAAAGGGGAAACTGACTCTTTACGTTTGCTCATCTTAAGGAACTTTCTACATGACCACTGCATCGTTTCAGAAAAGCTGCTAAGACGCGTTGTACACAAAAAAGTTGTACCTTTTTCGAGGATTACCTCCACTAGACCGGGATTCATGTGAGTAGATGCATGACAAAAATCACCGTGCTGATGAAATGTGCGTTCGTGCGCTGGAGGAGCTTTTGGGGATGTTGTCTCCTTCCAGTCTTTCAAAAGTAGGCTACCTGATCCAGACCTGTCGGGTTAGACAGAAAGGATCGCGGCGGATTTATCGCTCGTCAAGATCGCTTTTACCGGAGAAGCATATGGGACGAGCGAGCGTCGTTTATCATCGGGTTGAAGTTGATGATGTGATGATGTGTAATGTATACTAAATGCACAACGTAGCTCAATAGAATATGTATACGGGTACTATTAACATTAGCCTATTTAATTAAATATAAATAATAATACTATTAATAATAATAACAATAATGATGATGATGACATATTGGGATTAAGATACTGTTTTAGTAGGCTGTGCGAGAAAATGTTTGATCTATTTGTCAAATAATATTTTAAATTTGGATTAAATCAGACGCAATTGTTTAACTCGATGACGCCGGTCTTTCATTAAGAAAAACTTACTTCATAGTGTCTGCATATATTCAAGGTTATTTAGACAGTTAAACTGTGTTATGGTTTGCTGGATAGTGTCACATGTGTTGTTGTTTAAATTAACAGGCTTAGCCTACATTGATTTGGTTGAAGTTCATTTAAGTCAATTTGTGCATTCGTCAAAAGTGCCGGTGGTTCACTGTTGTTACACCTTTTAGCAAGACTACATCCGACAAATGTGTATATTACAAACAATAGAAAAACACAACACCTGATTTTTTTTGCTGTCTGTACTGCTGTAGACCTATTTCTTATATGATAAATATTAAGGTGTTAAGCGGCAGGTGCTTCGAAGCCGTAAAAATATAAAGAAAATAAAGAAAACCATGTTTCCATCCACGCTCACTGTGTTACTTCGTTATATTGTTGAAAAATGTTCAGGTCATATTTTAAAATAATTTTAAAACATGCAACAATTAAAAGTTTCAATTAAGGGCATTTCTGTCTGTCCAAAATAAATAATAATAATAATAGCCTAATAACAAAATACTAAAGCAAACGCACCTGTTTATCTTAATTTACATGCGGCCAAATAGTCAAACAAGATTGACCAAAACATTTTTTGTAGAGTATCAAAAACGAGAGCTTAAAATTAATCTTATTAGGCTTCCATAATTAAATTTTCTGTGTCCTTTATCTTAGATGTCTTTTATTGTAATATTTTAACACGGATTCTCTTGCTTGTGACGGATTTTTGTTTATATATTTTTAATTAACCACGCTAAATATAATTTTCGTTTAAAATGGCTCAAAATCATTGCAATAAAATTGCAAACACGTTTAAGAAAATAAAAAGAGTTTGTTTGTGAATGCGTGCGTGTGTGGTTAAACCGCGCAGACCGAAAAGTGCGTGAGGGAGGCTCATGTGTTTGGTCATGTCTTCTCATGTTGGCTCCAGTATATGATGTAATGCACAAACACACTGTTCAAGTCTGTAGTTCGGCTTCAGCTGTATTCAAAAACATATCAAGTATGCCTTTTAAACTTTTGCTTAAAATCGAATCTCTACATTTTTTGTGCATGTGATGTTTCAACATTTCATCATTGCTATATTTCTCAGTCAAACAGTGAACAGTGTGTGCGTGCCGCTGTGTAATGAAATAAACATGACCGTCCTTATAGCGAGATGAGCATCTCCTCGTACACGGATATTCGGAGCTGTGCGTGCAGGAAAAGCCGCGCTTTGACATACACAGCCAAATGCAAATGGGTGTTAGGAGGGGAGAAATTAACATCTACAAACATTGGGTAGAAATTCCATCTGCCGCCGGCTCGAGTGGGCCCTTAATAAGTTCTCAGACAGCAAAGTGACACACATCTTAATCAACTCTTAATCCAAGGAATTAATTCTAAACGCGTTTATGAATAATTCCTGAGATAATACAGCAGCCCGTGGAAATGTATGCGGTCGAACCAACAGATGGACCCAGCAATCTTCTGAAAAACGAGAGGATTTTACCTCTATTATCTCTTCTCTTATTAGATATATATATTTTAATGAGATCGATGTCCTGTATATAAACTGCCCCCTCACTGACATGCATTATCTGAGCGGTGTCAGTACGAATATCTCAAAGGCAGCATAAATTTTCCTTTCTCCAAGTGCCAGCAACACGGTATTAAGAGTGACATAAAGTTTTAAGCCAAACTTTATCACAGAAAATTTGCGTTAAAAAACAAAATACAAAAAAATGTACCTAAAGAGAATGATCATTTTAAATAACATTAATTTTATATTAATAATAATATTTATTTTTAGTATTATTATTATTATTATGTACTTAAATTTTACAATTGGTTATATACGCTATCTAATAAATAAATATGCAAAAACCAAGGTCAGAAAAACCTAGTCACTTTCCTTTTTTGTCTCTCCATTTTTACATTGAAAAAAAATCTATCAATGCATCTGTGGCATTTGCATGGACTCTTTGATCACTTGCCTTGTTGGCCCACAGTCCTTAGGGGACCCTTGATAGAGTTTGAAATGTAATAATGTCACAAGTCCTGGTAGGGGTGGGGAGGTGGGTGCATTGACACCTTGCTCTGGATGAAATAACCAGCTTACGTCACCTATAACTCTGGCCAAAAGGAGCAGCATCTGAGCAGCCTGCTTGACAGATAACCATTTATCAAAGTCACTCCGGGTATGTGTTGAAGTATATCTATAGTGCTGATTGTAATTCTGCATTCTCATGATAGCCTCCCCTGCACAAGCCAGCTGACTTTACAAGGGTAGTTACCTCAATTGTTTATTAGATTAAAAGGGATTATGATGGCATTAAAAGTAAACCTTTTCATTGATGGATAATAGGAAAAGGGTATGCTAGAAAATTTAAAATTTACAAAAA